AAGAAAAAAAAACCCCCCCCCCCCCAAGTCAAAAACACCTCATAACACAAAATTAACAGGCACTGTGATCAAAACCTTCACTGATGTCATAATTCTTAAAATGAGAGTCAGGGAAATATTAATAAAATACAATGTCATCTGGTCTCAACAGTTGTAAGCTTTGCAGTGGAATTAAAAGTAGAAGACTAAACAATACTCCCACAGATGTGTGAATTATGTTCTTAATTGTCAGTCCTCACACACATAATGTGGTAGCAGAACATAGTTTGAAGTGTCAGAAGAGTCTGGGAGTTGCGTGTTCATTCATTTCCATTTAATGAGAAATAAGACGTAAGTAAAGTGTGTTGTCCCTAATATCATGCAATACCAGGTATATAGTTGGTTCACCTGTGCTGCACACCAGCCCCAACAGTCATTGAACCTTGCGCTTGTGACAGAAATGCATGTATCTTGAGCATATAAACTTATTTGTGTTTTGTGTCTTTAAAACATCATGTAATTAGTAATGACAGAAAAGTATTTATAAATGTGTATTCATCTTCTATTTGTGTGCCTGTTTACAAACTGATTTTTCAGATAGTGATTGAATATCTCTTTGGAATACCCAGTTACTTATGTCCCAGTAGTAATACAAATGACAAAGATTATAGGTCAGAAATATTCTAATAAAAAGAACAGACCATAATTTCCAAATATATCCTGAAAATAAAATATTTTGAAACTGTTTTTAATAAGAGCTGCAAACATTAATGAAGATTTGTGTAGCCAATATATGTATTAATATCTGTTTGATGCAAGAGGGAAAACATGATAAACTAAACTAATTTAAAATATTTAATTTAAATTATATGTGTATCTATTTTTGCCTTTCACAGTGCTGTTTATTACAAGCTGCATTTCTATATTTTTCTTATAAATTTGATAGATATTTGCAAATTTAATAAATTAATACTTTTGTGTCTATATTTTGAAATTATCTCAGAATTGCTTGATGTCAGAAATGTGAATTTTTTGTCAGATAAGTGATTCTAATCATGAAAATTGTTGAGTGTTTTTATGCTTGAGGAATAACAAAATGATGATGAGGTCTACTTGTTCAACATACTACTTCAAAAAATGTTTTACTTATAAAATAAATTTTTCATAAAACCTAACATGTTACTTCTAGTGGGAGTAAGAGTTTCATATTAATTTGAATTGAGTATTACTGATTGGATCAGAAACTCTTCTGTCAAATCATCACTGTCAGTAGGATCACAGGTTGCTAATCACTAGTTTGAGTGTGTGTGTATCTGCTTACAGTATATCTTTATATGATACTTAATGTTACATCAGAAATGGTATTTGCTTCTTATAGTAAAAGAATTAAACTATAAAACTCTGGTATTAATATAGACTTCACTCTATTTTACATTAATATTTTGTAGGTAACATATTAAAGTTTGTATCATGTTTATATAAAACATGAAGTTATTGAACAAGTTATTTAATGTCTTGTTTATGCATGTTGTCCCACTTATTGTACAATTGTGTTTGTATATTGCTTAGAAGTGATTAGTTTATTAATAGAATTGAAGCCATATTTGTATTTTACAATTTGTAAGAAATTAAAATGATCCATATGGGCTTAGTTATTTAGGTTAATTAATGGTGTGCAATATGTAGCAAAAATGTCATTTATGTCAAATTTGTTCTTAAGTCTTGTAAAAATAAATGTATGTAGCAATAATTTTATAATTTTAAATTCTAAAACTTGTAAATGAATCAACAGAAAAGTCAGCAAGAACAAAGATGTAGACAATTTTAATCCACTAAATATAAAATTTAGTAATGTTAGGAACTATAAGAAATTTTGACTGCAAAATATGTTAACTGCATGAATTTCCGTGTTGTTGTTTGGTTGAAGAATTTTTCCCCATTCAGATGTTTATTATATAATAGTACTTTATGGCACAAGTTTAATTTGACTTCCTAATTTATTAATGTAAAGACAATGTGCCTTATGAATACCATAATGCCCTATATGAATTATGCAGTGGTGTTCTAATTAATTTGGTGGAAGGTGTTCTTGTCAGAGTTTCAGTAGATCATTAATGGTATGGAAACAAAATAACAATACCGTAGTTCTATTGCACTACTGGCAACAGTTAAGTTTTCAAAAATTCATGTATTTAGACTAGTCATATTATGTGCAAAAAACATATTCCTTTATAAACATATTTAGTCACTGCTGTACAAGTAGACACACTTGCCAATTACCAGTAGACATAAAAAATACATATCACATTTAAATCCGTAGAATGTGTGGGCACAATGAAACAGAAATAATTATGGGCATGTTTCTTTCATACTGCTACCATATTTATATAGTGTGTATGAAGTTGTGTTTTACATTGACTAATTGTTTTTGTTATCTGAAATAGTGATTTTTATACATATTTTTTAGTATCACAGTATATCCCAAGCTTATACCTATCATTAAGTTCAAACTGAAAATGAAGGTGATACAGCAATCCTAACAAAGTGCACTTTTCCCAATGAATTTGTTAAAACTAACTGATAAGTTTTTGTTATTTTTGTTGCATCTGCATTCATTTTCCATACTTCTATTCCTGCACCTTTTCACCCTTACGTTACCATGTTTTATAGACCACACTAGAGTGGCAAGACTTCTCACCCCGGATTTTTGTCTCTTTTTTAGATATCCATATTACTGCATGTGTTTTTATCAATATCTAGGTGAGATTTTCATCATTTGATGGGAAATCTCTACCATATTTTCAGCTTTTATCTTTTAACATTGTAATGTTTGCAATGCATATTGTAACGTGGGGCGGTATTGCTACCCTGGTTGTCAACCCTGATTTATTCACGTCAAATTAAATCAGTTACAGAGGTCTGCACATACAGCCAACTCTCTGCCACAACAACAGTCTTCGAGTCTCTGTTCCCTGCTCTCGACACGCACACATACTCTCGCACTGTCCTCCGAGTCTATATGGTCTCCCGAGCTCGGCGCTCTTCACATACGCAACCACATCGGCCCGTAGCACCCCACTGGACACACGCTGGCTCCTCGGCCGCCACGGTCCACGAACCCGGTGCTCCCACATGTAGCCGACCTGTCCTTTCTCAGCGCCACACCAGACCTCTCGTAGGCTCCACTCACTCGACTCTACCACACACATCTCTTACGCCCGATTCACAGCTCTGTTCTTTCCACACTCATGGCTTATCGCTTGCCACCAATGTCCGCAACAGCATATCGCTTGCAACTCACTTCTACATCCTGACTCACACCTCAGCTCTTTTCCACACTCTCCTCAAAGGCGCTTGTCAATCGGCTTTTAAACAAACGCAACAATGTCATTAAACAGACACAACAATTATAAACGAATACAACAATGTCAAACGCAACAATGTTTATAAACAAACAACAATTATAAACGAATACAACAATGCCAAACGCAACAATGTCGATAAACAGACAACTAAACTGTTTATTGACATTGTTGTACTGCTCTTACAGCAACACGTCACAATATATTGTAAGTATATGGGGGTTGACATGAGTAAGTTAGAAATGAACGTGTTTGAGGTTGGCACTGATTCACACCTCAACTCTTTTCCACACTCTCCTCAAAGGCGTTTGTCAATCGGCTTTTAAACAAACGCAACAATGTCATTAAACAACAACTATAAACAAATACAACAATGCCAAACGCAACAATGTTTATAAACAAACAACAATTATAAACTAATACAACAATGTCTATAAACAAACATAACAATTATAAACGAATACAACAATGCAAATAAACAGACAACTAAACTGTTTATTGACATTGTTGTACTGCTCTCACGGCAACACATCACAATATATTGTAAGTATATGGGGGGTTGACATGAGTAAGTTAGAAATGAACGTATTTGAGGTTGGCAGACTCATGGTTGGCAATAGAAGGGTCACAGTGCAACCGAGACTGAAGTAACCTAATATCACAGTACTTTATGCCCCAAATTTGGGCCCAGGGCATTGCATTAAGTCTTTGTTTAATCTAGTTTATCTGTAGTACCTGTATTTTCTTCTTTTAGTACATTACAAGACACTTGCAAAAGTATATTGCTGTCACTTTCCTGCCTGCTCCATTATAATAATTATACAAAGACTGAAATTAAGAGCAGGCTAAATTTAGAAATTGTATGCTAATATGCAGTTCAGAATCATTTGTCTTCCAGTCTGCTACCTAAAAGCATAAAGATTAAAATATGGAAACTATAATTTGACTTGTAGTCTTTCATTTTAAGGGAAGAACATTGGCCATACTAAGGAGAATACTTAGACCTTTGAGGGATTAAGTGACTGGAGGCTAGAGAAAATTGCATAATGATGGTATTCATAATTTGTACTTTTCACCAAATATAATTAGGGTAATGAAATCAAGGAGGAGCAGGACATGTAGTGTGTATTGTTTGGTTGTAACGCTTGAAGGAAAGTAACCACTTGGAAGTCCTAGATGTAGATGGGGGAATAATATTAAAATGGATCTTAGAGAAGTAGGGTTTGTGGGTATTGATTGGGTTCATCTGGTTCAGGAGAGGAGTGTGTGGTGGGCACTTATGGGCATGTTAGTGAATCTCTGAATTCCATGGAAGACAGGTAATTTCTTGACTAGCTGATTATACTGTTAGTTTCTCAAGAAATTCCCAGCTCCATGGAGTTAGTTATGGTATAGAGATTTCCTTGAGTGGTCTGTTGTTATTAGACTGACTGAGAAATTCCATATAATGATTTGCAAAGGGTTATCATGATCATTATAAACATCTGTCTATAGAATAAAAATTACCATTTCAGGACCGACCAGATCGAGTTTTACACACAAATAAGTTTTTGTCCAGTGTGGGGCACAGTCCAGGAGTACAAACAATGTTAATATTTAAATGTAAAAGAAACAAGTTTGTGTTGGTATAAACATTCTTCTGCCTCCATCTTCAGGGCTTATGATAGAGACAGTATGTCTCTTTGAAACACATGTATACCTATAGGATCACACATGGCATCAGAATCCAGAAGTTCAGTGTCAACATCAAGACAAACTCTGATCTCACTTGGAGCTGATAGTTTATCTTGTGTTCAAATATATTATGCAGAACAATTTCTCATACAGAAATAGAAGCAACTAATGAAACATGTTTTTTTTTTGAAAAAAGAAAAGCAGTGTGTTTATTAACAAAAAATAAAATAGTATAATTATAATGTCATACAAAAGGGCAATATTTTATGATTGAGTTACAGTTTCAGCCTTCATCCTCAAAAAATTACATGAACAAAATCAGTTTGTGTCCAGATGCATTTACAAAAGTTTTTTATGATCAAAATACCAAAATGTATGTAGCTCTGAAGATGACAGTCATCTGGGTTTTGGTGCTGTGTAGCCTGATGGAAGTTTACCAAATTTTCAGAGGTACTTGTTGCTTCCTTGAGCCGGGATAGCTCAGTCAGTATAGTGACTAGCTACGGGCTGGACGACCGAGGTTCGATCCCCGACGGGGGCAGAGGATTTTTCCTCTAGCCTCTGCGTCCAGACCGGCTCTGGGGCCCACCCAGCCTCCTCTACAATGGGTACCGGGGGTCCTTTCCCGGGGGTAAAGCCGGCCGGGGCGTGATGCTGACCACTCACCCCCATCTAGTGCCGAGGTCAAGGAAGAGAGGAGCTATACCTCCACTCACCCCAAACGCCTACTTGGCGTGTAGCGGACAAACTTTACTTTTACTTGTTGCTTCCATCATTGATGAAGGCAGAAAATACCTACATGGCGCTACAACAGCCGTTTTCATTGTCACTACCTTGAGAGCATAGCTGTTGTGAACTGAGAAAAAATTGCATTTCTTATGGAAGCAGTATTCACAAAATATCAATTTTTCGATCTTATATGGGCCAGATTTCTGAGTGTGAGTAGATCTGCATAAATATTTGCTGTGGCCTAAAGTAAACATGCATATCATTCCTGATGTTGGCATTAATATTATTTATTTATTTAAACATCGACCTCTATTTCCCTGTTCAGCTGTTGGTTACCCTGGTGATGGGTGATAGAGGCGCGGCATTGGTAGTGTAGCTCACTCAGACGACCTATTTGGGTGGCTTGTGTCATTGCTCGTGATCTGCCTGGTCGCGCTATTCAGTTGGGAGTGTTGTGTAGGAGTGTCATGTGGTTTAAGTTGTTTCAGTGTTGTGAACGTGACTACTAGCACACTTCCTGTCCCTTCAAAATGGGAGCTCATGTGTCGAGAACTGATTTCGAATGGTCGTATACAGAAGAGCCACATGCTAGTCGACGAAAAGAAATTTTAGGTAAGTATCCTCAATGTGCAACGAAAACATTTTAAGTGTAACACTTCTCATTTTGAGTTACAAATTGAAAGATTGTTCACATGTGTAGATGATTATATTAATGCACTGTATTTTATCGCCATCGATAATTGTTCTCTTCGAAGAGCAATTATTTGTGAAGAGAAATAAAACATATTCAGTAACAAGTTTGGATAATGAGTCACATGAACAGCATACAAGCCATGTATTAGTCGCATCTGTATATCATGAGTTAAGAATTGACACATATTGTATATATTATTTAACTACGTAATATAGAACATTAGGAATCATATGGTAATGACAGAAAATATTTAAGGATGTATTACTGTGTTATTTGTTAATGTAGTGTTTAAGTTGTACAGCAGTTTAATGGCTGGATTCATTTATTATATTACATAGTTGTGTTTAATGTTGTATCATGTCAGATTCAGGATGTTTATATAAATTTTTATTGCAGAAAAATATCCTCAAATTAAGAAACTTTTTGGATATGACCCATACTTCAAATGGGTAGCCTCAGGAATGGTGCTTATTCAGTTTTTCATGATGTATGTGATGATAGATCAGTCATGGCCTATGATATACCTGGTTGCATATTGTTTTGGTGGAGTCATCAACCATTCCCTGATGTTAGGTGAGTTTCAAAAGTTAATTAATACAAAAAAATAAATTTAATGTTGTTGTAAAATTATAGACATCACTATTTTATCCCCACAAGGAATTTTGAGATGACTTGAGTTGAAATGTTGTTATTTTATCTTTTTCAACCCAGTACTCAGATGCCTTTTTTTTGGTATAGTTCAATAGAGCATAGTTCTTGGATGGGAACTGCAATATGCTTTTGTTTGTGTTTTGACTCCAAAATGGCAGCCAATGCCAAGTCAGAATTCAAGTTAGAATGAGAGGTGTTGCTAGCAGCAGATGAGTGTGGAACTTCGTCTGACATTTTAAGAAAGAACATAAATAGAACTTGAACAAGTAACTAGGATAATACGTAATCTGAGACATAATAGAAGAATTTAACAAATTACTAAATATAATGTATATAATTTATAATCTGTTGTTAGAATTCACAAATCAAGAATGATACAGACAGTATGTTATGCATAAGGGAAAGGAAAAATGAATACAAAATATTTCTTGCAAAATCTCCAAGAAAGAGTCAGCTTGCAGGGTCTAGACACTGATGGTAAGAAAATATTGAAATAGGTGTTAGGGAAATAATGACGTAAAGGTGTGAACTGGACTTAAGTGGCTCAGGATGATATTTAATGGCAGGCCTTTGCAAACTTGGTAATGAACCTTGCAGGCTTCATGAAAGCAATTGTTTTCTTGTCCATCTGAGATTCAACATGTACCATGGAGATAGTGGAATATATAATACGAATGAAAATTCACTGAAAAGTGGAAGTGGTTTGTGATGAAACATCCAGGGCTGGTTATTGGTAACAAGACAAGATGTATGCATAGCATAACAGTACTACCACAATTTATAACTTTGCCTTTTGGGTGGGAGTCATGTTGGACGTTTGGCATTAACCAATATTTCAGCAAACATTGCATTTGAACTCCATCTGCAAAAACCTACAGACAAAAATGCTGTCATATTTCATAAAATCTGACCATCGACCTTTGCATGCTTGGGGTGTCCAGGTGGGTGATGATCACATCAATAGATATGTTATCTGAAAAGTGTATGTATTTTTTGTTGGTGAGAAGTGATTAGTTGAGAGATGAGATAATATCAGAATATTATCAGCATTAAATCTACTTGTTCCCATTGTAATCTTTAAAAGTTATCTTTGTGAAGACATCTGTGAATGAGCAAACTTAGGCCACTTTCAGACTAATTATTATTAATCTTGAATAATCACTGCTGATCTTATTCTCTTGAATGAGAATTAAACAATAGATATACATATCTGTCCTCAATACCACATTGAGCATATTAGTCTTCTGAGTAGGCCAGTGTGCTTTAGTTTCTTCAGTTTGTCCATCCCATTTCTGGGATTCTGCCTTTAAATAAGCCTGGACTGACTTCTTGACACTCTGTGTTTACATCTCATTTCATGCTGTACATCTTCAGTGAACAAAACAACAGTGTTGAATATCCTAACAGTTACCCAGATTAACTGGCTTTAATATGCACAACACATGTTTGAAAAGTCCATATTTGAATATGAATGTAGAAAATGTTCCTTTTATTTGCCAGTTACTTAAACCCTGAAATCATTGAAAATATGTTGTTAAAACTGATGAACTTGATTATCCAAAGTGCAGATGTTAATAATTTTGATCATGATGGTAACATGCTGCATAGTGGTCAAGCAACAAAGTTTTGAGATGCAGGAGTTGAACCAGCAGAACCAATGGATCAGAGTGGAGGCTCACCCTTCATTATTTGATTTCAACTTTTTGCAACCTGCTGTTTCTTTATAGTAAGGAGTGTTGCCCCCTCTCCCACTCAACTCCCAAGCTTAAGGAACACTCCTCGTCACTTGTCCGCAACTGCTCATTCAATATATTTGCAGCTACACTCCATATCTGGAGGCTTTCAACTGCATCAACATCTAGAAGCAGTCTCCCAAACTCATTATGTGTTTGTTTGGCTACTATTATGATTTAATCTCACCTTATTTTTACTATGCTACTATTTGGCTGATCTACATGGTGATGAAGCTCTAAGAAATATGAGCCAGAACTCTCCTGCTCCTTGAGAGTGACTCTTCACACGTAACAAACAACTCAGTTACTTTTCTGCAGAACAGAAAAATAAACATGTTGTTTCTTGGATCTAGAATAAGGTTGTGGGTTTTCGGAGGCTTCCTTTTAGAGGTTTGTTGATGTTGAAGTGTGCATTTATCAGTAGTGACCAGCCCACTGACTGCGCAATTTCTACTCAATCCCGAGTTGACTGCCGGAGCCATCTAGCAGTTAATCAGGAGACTTGGGTGAGAAATGGCAGCTGAATTTTGCTTACAAAACATCTCATATCATGCTCCTAAGGTTCTTTTACATGCCGTAAATCTACAACATGGGACCGCTGGCTTTACTTCCCCTCTGAAGGAAGTTGTGCTACAGATTTTTATCACCCTTAAAAATCCATCAACCTCGGCTGGGATTGAACACGCGAACCTTTGGTCCAGTGGCGAGCACTCTAACCACTAGCCCACATACCCCACCCTAAGCATATAGTCCATATCTGGCATCATAAGAGATTTCTAATTTCCAGAAATTGATGGTAGCTTTCAGCTCATCAGTTTTCAAGCTCTGGAAACAACCTACATGTATATAAACTGGAGCTTGGAGAATTATTCATAAAATTAGTGTTGCATTTGTTTTAATTGTTTGTTCAGGAGTGTGGAACTTTGCATAGAATGGGGGGGATATACACACTAAATAAATGTAAATCGTCTAAAGATGTCATTGTTAGATTATTAGTATCTAAACACTGAAATTGATGAACATGAAATTTTGTCTTTGATTCAATCTTCTTTGCTCCATCTATAAAAAGGAAGTTTCATTGATGAATGATTGTGTCATTGTATGTTGTTCCAAAATATTGAAATATAAATAATTTATTATGATTATATATGCAATTAATGAAGAAACACCAGAGTTTACTTATAATATAAAACAAGATGTTCACATGACTGTAGTTCAGGCTTAATGCTAATAATCTCTTTTGTGTATATGTTTGAGATGTCAAGTTGTATTACACTATTTAAAACGATTTTTTCAGTATATCATTAAAGATGAAAGAATGTATCTTGCAGTGTCAATGACAAGAGTATATAAATGCCTGTCTACAATCTTACATTAAATATGTCAGAAAAATCTATAGTAGTGGGGACCAATTTTTTCCTAAAATGCTACTTTTAGTTAGAATTATTACTAGTATAATTTACTGTTTTTACTGATTTCAGCAATTCATGAGATATCACATAATTTGGCATTTGGTTGTGCAAGACCCTTGGCTAACAAAATGCTTGGTATCTTTGTTAATCTTCCGATTGGAATTCCATTTTCCATCAGTTTTAAAAAGTACCACTTGGAGCACCACAGGGTATGTAATGCAGTTATATTCTTCATTAGACATAAGGACATATATATTTAATGCTCTCATTGCTGACATAAACATGAAATGCCTTTTTTAATTTAAAATGGAAACCATCCCTAAGACATTCCAGTGGCTGTCTTGTTTGTGTTATTATATCATGGTGACAAAGGATGTTCATTGTTGCAAGGCTGTTGTTATGTTCTATTGGTATTGTAGTCTGATGACACTTAGTGTATTGCCATGGTAGTCAGTACAAAGCACAAATTTGGCATTCTGATTTAGTACTAAAGCAAAATAGTCTGTTCAGTTTACAAAAGAAACATGTACTGTATGTATTTGAATGTGTAAATATAAATGTTTTATCTTTCTTTTTAGTACCAGGGTGATGAGAAAATGGATACAGATATTCCAACTTATCTTGAAGCGAAGTTGTTTTGTAACACATTTGGAAAACTTTGCTGGGTGATACTGCAGCCATTTTTCTATGCGTTACGGCCTGTAATCACATACCCAAAGAGTCCCACAAAATTTGAAATTGTCAATGTTATTGTCCAGCTTGCATTTGACATTCTAGTCTATTACTTGTGTGGTAAGTATTCAATTTTGGTACAGTTACATCATAAAAATATATATTTTAATAAAAACTGATACTTTGTAAGGGTTATAATCGTATCCTAGCTCAGTTCACTTCACTTCATATTGTCATGACATACCCACACCTCTTCCGTGCCTAGATATTAACTATATTTTAACCAAATTTGTTAATGTAGTTCTTATTTTCCATGTGTATGTTACTTGTAATACTTAAAATGATAATGCTGTGCAAGGGGTGCAAATTATGAAGCTTCTTTTATGGTTTACTCCTTTCTTTTGCTTTATTTATCTCATGTTCAGTCTCCTCAACACTTGTTACAAGATGCCCTAAGTCTCCGTTTTTTCTCTACAGTGAACAGAAAAGTTTCATAATGATTGAATAATTAGGTGATTTATACTTCTATATGCTTTAATGTTAATGTTTTGGAATGAGAAAAGATAATACGTTTTCTGTTAAACAGCAGCATACATTTTCTTGGTTTATTTTGCCGTGAACTTTATATTGGTTTCTATGAACTTTTTAATTTACACAGAACATAAATAAATTATGTTCTGTATTTAATTAGTTATGTGGTTTGTCAAAACTGCTTTGGATAAAATTCATAGAGCTAATTGGAGATATTACTATAAAATCTCAGGATAATTTATCATGATCTTAGTATCTCTGTAGGATGAATACAGGAAAACAAAAGAGAATTCAAACAGAAGCAACCTTTAACTTTGTAAAACTTGATATTTTTCCCACAGGTGGTAAGGTTATAGTCTACATGATAGCAGGGTCTCTTCTTGCTATGGGTCTTCATCCTGTGGCAGGCCACTTCATCTCTGAACACTATATGTTCTGCAAAGGCTATGAGACATACTCATACTATGGTTGGCTTAACTGGATAACATTTAATGTCGGTTACCACAATGAACATCATGATTTTCCAGCTGTACCAGGTTCAAAGCTACCAGAGGTATGTATACGAACAGTGATCAAAATAAAGGCAGATAATCATTTTTGGTAGAATTTTATTGAAGAATAAAAAATTGTTAACACATCAGTTAATTGTGTTAGGAGGTTGGCATCTTGCATCACATATTTCATTTTGAAAGTGGTTCATTTCTAATGATATTTAAAGTAGTTTTCTCTGATATTCACATTTCCTGTGTTTAAAACTCAAAGAATATAGTAGTTGATATATTCTAAATGTACTGATGTTAATAGTAGTGGTAAGTAAACACTGGAATATCTACAAGTGAATTATTGGGTTTGTGAATTAACTGCTGTTTTTAGGAACATAAGTAGCTTAAATATAAAAGCCTTTGTGTACATAGTGAATTTCTTATCTTTGGTGTCTGAATGTTTAAATTGTGCATACTGTGGACTCTTTGATTCTAACTCTCCCACCACACCTTCTAACTTTATCTGGTATGATATCTAGAAAAGCATCACTGCACACAGTTTCTCCCTTGGTCATATCCAGTCACTTCCTCCTGCAACCAGCTCTTAACCTTTCTACTGCCAGCAACTCTGCAGCTTGCTTACATCACAGTCCAGCCATATTTAGCAGTTTGCAGTATTCCATGATAAAACATGTTGGGAAATGTACACATAGCATAAAAATTCTGGCATGGGTGCCAAAATTTGACTTTTGCAAATGGTGCCAGTGGCAGGTGTCTGGGGCATAGTATTTTACCATGTAACCATAGTAACAAAGGCACCCGGACATATCGCCATGCTTGAATACACATTGGTTATTGACAGATTTGAACCAAAATTGGAATGTGCTGACAAAATGTAGTAAAACTCCCCAATATCAAATTTCATGAAAATTTGTGAGGTATTTCATTTAGGCAGACAGAGTAGTTTTAATAGGTGTTCTGCAGAGATGCATACATGCTTGTAAAATTAATTGTAAACAGTATACACTCATTCAGGAAATTGTAAAAGCTACTTACATGCATCATCTGGCAATAGAAATGAAAAGTATTTGGTCAGATTGTGTTCTGAAATATAAATCTTTCTGTCTTGCATCATGTTACCATCTAACCTGGGTTGGGGTACTGTGGTGTGAACAGAGTGTTGGTAAATGACCAGACTGAGACAGTGAGACAAAACTGACCAGACTGAGACAGTGAGACAAAACTGTTCACTGTGCAATGAGGTTTATCAACATTTCATGTAGTATTTTGTTGAAAAATGAGATTTTATGATGCTTCACTGCTAACCATTTTTGCAACCACCATGGCAGAATAGGTAATGTGAAAGTAGAACTTTTCCTGAAGTTTATGGATGAGATCAGAGAAATTAAAACTACTACTAAATGACATACTGAAAGTAACAAGGAGATGGGATGTAGTATATATGATTACTATTGTGACGCAGACCTCTTTATCAGGGTAAATGTTATTACAGAGGATTGAACTCAGCCCCTTGAGTTGTTCTCTTCACCAAATATTATTAGGACATTCAAATAGAGGATGACTTTGTGGGGCATGTAGTGTGCACGGGGAATAAGAGAAATGCACATTTTTAGTTTGAAAGCCTGAAGGAAAAAGTCACTTGTAAGACCTATGCATAGGTGGGAAGACCATATTTAAATGGTTCTTAAATAGAATATGAGGGTATAGATTGGATTTATCTGTCTCAATATATGATTCAGTGGTGGGCTATGATGAATTTTGGGGTTTTACGAAAGATAGGACATTTTTTGAGTAGCTGAGTATATAGGCAGACTCAAGAAGGTATCTTCTCTGTGGCCTTCGATTGTTTGTTAGTTATTAAGTTAGTCAAAAGTACCACTCTAGAAAATGGTTGCTAATGTAGACTCCACTAGCAGGTTCTAGCTATAAAAGCATCTCAGCACACACTTGATGTTGGTCAACATACATTACCAGCTAGAGGACTGTTCTGAGAGTGGTCATAGTATTCTACTAAGATGAAGTGCTGAAGGTGGTTATCAGTATGATTTAAACCAGTTATCCTGTCTAACTTGTTTTGGAGATTGCCAGCCATGGACAATTTGAAGAGTACCTTGACAGCTATCATCTTTGTTGTAAGTTGTAACTTCTACTGATGAAACTATGAGAGTTAATGCCAATAGATTACCTTGTACTTTTTGAAGGAGGAAAGGAATGTATATGTATAAATGGACATAACATGATAACTAGTATAATAGAAGGTGATTTATTGATATATTATGTTATATTTTAATTGTAAATGTGTAACATACATCGATGATGATTCCAGGGCACTGAAGTGAAATGAGGTAGGGAATTTGAAGTCCTAACTCAGTGACACAAACTGTTATGAGCAGTTTGTGAAAAATATTATTCACCGACAATAAAGAAAATAGTTGCTTCAGTTTTGACAAGGAAATAGTTTAAATTAGCTGCTACCCTGACAAATGTGGAAGGTTATGAGAAAGTTGACACAACATTGAGCAGTAGTTTAATTTGACTGACAGTATCATCCCTGTTATTAGATACTGATGCAGTAAAGGTATCTAGCAGTATCAAGGACAGGCTACAAATGAAAATGAGGATGGAATAACAGTTAATATTAGAAAACAGCCTTGCCTAGAATGAAGGATTAATAAATAAATTGTAACACCACACCCTTGTGGTCAATCCATTAGTTTCAGGTTTTATGCCTAATGAATGGGGGTGGATGGTTGTATAGGGAATATATAATTGAAGAAAAACAAGTGTTTCTTCTGATGGATTTAGCATTTATTGATATAATTTGAAATACACTACTCAACAGCAAGCACCACCAGTCCCCCTCATCCTCCCTTTCCTCACAAGACTTTGTGTGAAGGGATAAGTAATATGTCTGTCAGTCATATTTGGAATAACCCTGGAAAGATTACATTCACATTTGGGACTCAGTTTTGTGACTTTGTAAGGAATGCAAGCCAGGGACAATTCTCCCACATTTCTCTACATTCTGCAGTTGCAAAGCTGAGTCCCAAACAGTACAGACAATTCCTGATAATAAAGTTTAGTAACAAGGGGTTGTATTTTTGACTACTGAATTTGAGATTTGAATTTAGTTATTGTCACAAGTGGTCAGAGATAGAAGTGGGTGATGGTATCTGCCCCAGACACACATTATAAAGCAGCACATTGATCACTCAGGAAATATTCCAGCACTATTTTGGCTGAGTGTTATATATTTATTGTAATTGAATATACTTCAGACTTAGTGGTCATGTGTGAATTGTGTTAACTTTTATCATTTGGGAATAGGGGATCTCAACTTCCATAACATGAAGCTGCTGCACAGGCTTTAACTGCAGGGTTTAATGGGATGCTATGACATCACACTGTAAGCTGGACCATGTGTAAGACGTTATGCACGGTCAGTAAAGGTTAACTGTATTTATTAACCTATCAGTAAGCTTCTGCCATCTTTTGGGAATGTGTTTGTTCATAATTTTGGCCTCAGTATATTATAGAAACAAGCATTTGTATTTGCAATTTGTCATCATCCTGTCAACTTGCATCATGACATCCATGACATATATGCAGTTACTTTATAGAACCCAAACAGGAAGTGGATTTGAATCATAGGTTTCTGGACATGCTATATAAGTAATTTTTTCTGTAGTGAATGTGAAAAAATCACTGAAAGTAATTTAGCTCCGGGGATCTACAACACAGCAATTAGTAACATAGTAGTGAAATATTAAAATTGTTGACAAATATGCCACTGAATTGGACAACAGACTTCAGTAATATGAGAATACTAACTGTTTTCCTAAGATATTTCCACTTTGTCATCAGACAGCAAAGTGTCCTTCTGAATATCTGTCCACAGCTCCTGTGTTCTTTCTTTCTTCTTTATGACATCTTTCCTAATCTGTTGTACACATCTTGATCTTGGTCACTCTCTTGGGTGTTTTCCTTGTACTTTCATATTCATTACCTTCTCTTGGATTCCCTTTGTTCATGTTTAAAATGAATACAGGCCATTTTGTTCTGTATTTGTTAATTTGCCTTCCAAGTTATTTTTCTGGAAATTTGTCATTGTCCCTTTGTTTCCAAGAATTTATAAAACATCCTCATCAGGGTCACTGCTTGTCTTACCAGGTTATTGTCCTTGCTAAATGGTTTAGGAGGAAGTGCCTTCAAACAAACCCCAGGTGCACACATGTGTAGGTCCTCTCTACCTTGTTCACTTCAGTTCAATTTAACACTGTTTTTGTGTATTCACAGGTAAAACGAATAGCTGCAGAATATTACAACAATTTACCTCAGCATGACTCATGGGTTAGTGTTTTGTATGACTTTGTGATGGACCCAGACATTGGACCCTATGCACGTATCAAGAGAAAAAATCGTGGACTAAAGTCATAAGTAAAATTGAAGAATAACTCAGTTACCCCTCCATAAATTTGTGATGGATCTGAATATTGGTATTACTTATAACGTAATTTTTTCACATATTACTCCAGTGATTTGTGAATGGTTTTGATCATTTTTTTCTAGTATACTGATGATGTGATACATATTCCATAAACATATTAGCATTGAATTGAAGAAAGATCTGTTATGGAAAATAATAGGTAAACTTTGTTTAAAAACTTATGCTTTTGTTATGTAAGTATAACATTCTGAAAGTAATCTTGTTTTAGCCAAAAGTATAAGAAGTATCATGAACATGTGTCTTGCCTTTTGGTCCTCAGATATTTTAAGTTACATAGAAATTGATTATAGAATGAATTCACCAGTTTTTAAAAGAAATTCTGAAGATTTATGGGCTTTAATTTTGTCAGCTACTGAACCTACTATTTTGATATTTTTTGCTGGTGTTATTAGCAGTGGTTCACAGCCTTTTTAGTGCAGTGTCACTCTAAAATTTGCTAAAACATGTATGAACACTGTTCAGTGTTAGGGATTATCTGCAATGAAATATAATGGAAGAGAGTATGGTAATGAAATTCCATAGATGAGCCCTCCTATGAGGATTACTGTTGAATTGCCTTTAATTAGGAAGTATTTGAAGTCCAGTAGTGCTGCAGTTTGCCATGCATGTGAACAAAGTAATTAATACAGATATTGATGCACTTTACTGAGATACAAAATCTGATTTGGCTTATGGTAATATGTCATTTCTGTATCTAGAAGGCAGTTTCCCCTCCTCTGTTAAAGAATTGGTGGAGTATCTGGAATCCTGTTAAACACTTTTATTGTACCATTTCTCAACCCATTATGTTATCATGTGTGCCCTCAGGTGATATTAAAATATGTTATGGAAAGAAGGAAATTATAATAATGTATCTATCTTCAACACATTTGTATGAGACATTTATTTCTGTATTATAATTAAACATTGCATTTTTATCATTGTGTGTCAGTTACCTCTCCTGTTTAGTTTAATTGTTCTTGATCATGTAAATTCATGCTGGAAAAAATGTATTCAGAGTTTTTTTGAGAAGGCCATTTAGAAGACCAAAGTAAGATGGGATAATAATATTAAATAATTCCTGGGGAATTTAGTTGTATGTGAATATGACTGTCTTGACTCAGGATCATATCCAAGTGTGGGCTTTGGCATTACCATTTCTGAACTTTTGGGTTGTCTTACCAGACTGTCAGTAGCATCTGTTGTGATATGTTAGTCAGTCACTTAATTTTACTTCTTAAATTCCTATATTTTGGCATTTTGTATTCATCCGTCTGGAAGACTACATATATACAGTGGTTCATTCACACAAGGTAGAGTTGTCACTGTGACCAAGCATTATGCCATGAAGGCATGTTAGGACACAGAAGTGAAACTTTATGCTCTGGCTTTCTTTACCTGGTGCCCATTGGACAGAAGTCTGAGTGGACAAGGACAGAGATGTAAACATATTGATGATGTTTAGCTGCTTAGTAAAATGCTAGAAACATGGCACGTGTAGAAACGAAGCTTCTTTACATGTACAGGTTGGTGAAGTTATATTATAATTATTCTAACTTTAGTTTAATTCTTTGCCTCTTGTAATTTTAATGTATTCTTGTGCTAGCAGACCATTGTGTAATACCTTTTACATCATTATGTTTCATGACAATCTGAATTTATTTTCTGTTCATCATTGATAGTTTTATTCAACATGTGTTATATGTCTTTGACAAACTGGGGTGTGGTGTTGGTGAAAAAAGGTTGCCAAACACAGGTCTAAGGGTAAAGTGCTGGACTCCATTCCTGGAGGTCTGAGATTCAGAACCAACCACATTCAGTGGATACTTGCCTTTTGCTTTTCCCATCTCTCACCTGTGATAAAGGCGAAACTTTGTAAATGTGGTGAATACCAGAGTTCACAGGAAAATAAAGATTCTCCTTGCCTGCCATCATTTTTATAATTGCCATACTGTTGACTGCTAAATTTTGAGTGGAGGTGTTGGAACAAAGTTTGGCAATCTTCAGAAATTTAACTTAAGATCTGTACAGAGCATTTTGGACTACCATTAGCAGCATTGACAGTTAAAATGTTCATGTTATGTTTATAGATTTTGTGAGTTGTAATTTTGGTAGATAATAAAATTCAAAACCAGTTGGTCTGCACTGACCATTCAGATCCTGACAGTTTACTTGAAAATCAAAATTAAATGTAAGACTATTTAATTTAATATTTACTGCATTAAAAAATTGTCATGTCATGTTTGAGGTACATAAGAAGATAATATATCCCCCCCCCCCAATTGTATGTTGAGCAGTATTTGGGAAAATAGGCACCAAGGGTTGCGGATTCCTTTAGTGGTCTCTTAAAGTTCTTTGGGTGCTGATAATATGAAACATGCTTGGTTTATGTTGTAGTGAAAACATACATCACAGTGATTAAAAGGAAGTGGCAGTTTTGGTTGTGTGTTTTAACCCATAACAAAGGTAAAGTTCAAGATCAGTTGAAAGGGTGTTATGTAGTGTTGACTCATCTGTGCTAGGTAATTACAATTTATATTTTTTTCCTAAAAATACTGGTGTTTGTATATCCCTAGCTTTCAGATTTAGAACATATGCATATTATATATGTTGTGACCAGATAGATTGTTATACATGATATTACAACCAAGTTCATGAAATACAATATGTTTTGAAAAGTTGTATCTGAAATATATTTATTGAGATTGGTGACCAACTGCAAAACAGGCATTCTTTGTAGTGAGATACTATTTGTAATTGTTACTCAAGAGGATTAATATATTTTAAGTATCTGATTCAGCTTTAAATTATATTTTATTTTCTGCAGGCTTGGTGTGGAATTTGAAAGGAAGCCTCACTTAATATTTTGCTCTTACAATTATATTAATTGTGTTTTTAGAATTTAAAAAATATTTATAATAACTGTATGGTAATATATAGTGGCTGCATGTGGATTTGCATGCTGAAGAGTGAGCAACAGTTGCAAAAAGTCTAAATAGGGTTTGAGGTGAGGTTTCCCCAGCAGTGAGTATGAAGATGACTGTCTTCTGGGTTGTGGTACCATGTAGTTGGTAGAATTTTACCAGTATTTCAGAGGTCCTTGCTGCCTCTATTATCAGGGCATCACCCTGCTACTT